AATAGCGATAGCTATGTAATACCTACAGGCTCTTATGAGTTGAATGAAATTGAAGCGGCTATAAAACGTGTATTACATAATACTGATACTTTATTCGAGTTGAGAGCAGATAATAATACACTAAAATGTACAATGTTTTGTAGTGAAACTGTAGATTTTAGCTCGAATAATAGTATAGGACAGTTGTTGGGGTTCAAAAATCGTAAATATGCAGCTAGTGTCAATCACGAATCAGATACGTTGGTTAATATTACCAAGACAAACTGTATATATATCGATTCAAATCTAGTTATGGGTTCATTCGTCAACGGTAAGCAGTGCCATACAATACACGAGTTTTATCCGAATGTACCTCCGGGCTATAAAATAATAGAGGTACCAAGACATTTGGTTTTTTATCCGCTTAATTCTACATCTATAACACACGCAAGTATAATTTTAAAAAATCAGGACGACGAGTTGATCGATTTACGAGGTGAGCCGGTATCGATACGATTATTAATTCAAGACTCGTGATGGGGCTCCAGTTTTACAATATAAATAGGCCTGTATATGAAAAACCCGTTAGTCGTGTTAAAAACACTAACAAGGTAACAACTCCGAAGAAGAAAAAATATTCGAGATGAAAACAGACTAGACATAGTCTAACACCCGACAATTTTGCTTTTCTACGCTCGATAAACGTCATCTAATATGGACGACACATATTTAGACGTCACGGCTGGATACATCGACGATTGTAAAATAACTCAAATTGATTATCATTCTTTTTTACCTTATTCGACGTCCGCTCTTTCTAATAATGATGAGGTGCGTATTGCTTTATATAACACAGAGTCTTATACACTACCGTGCGAGAGTTATATTTACATCGAGGGGACAATAACTAAACCTGCAGAAATAACTGACGAGATTAGATTTATAAACAATGTGCTGTCATTTTTTTTCTCCGAAATGAAATATGAAATAAACGGAAATCAAATCCAGAAACTTGTCAATCCGGGTATAACGACAACATTAAAAGGATATTGTTCATACAATAAAACAAATATTTCTTCACACCAAAACGCTGCGTGGGATAGTGATTTTAAAAATGTTAATAAAGATTTCATTGATGGCGGTAATTTTAATGGATGTATAAATCTTAAACATTTGTTTGGTTTTTGTGAAGATTATAAACGTATTTTAATAAACTGTAACCAGCAACTCATATTGAATAGAGCATCAATCGATTTAAATGCTATTAAGCAATATAAAAATAATGAGTTAGTTGACGGTGCTAAACTAAAAGACGTTAAAATAAACATAACAAAAATATTGTGGCGGATGCCTATCGTGAAAGTGAGTGATAGAGAAAAAATTCGACTGTTGAAAGTAGTCAACAATCAGAAACCCCTAACATGTGCGTTTCGTTCATGGGAACTTTGTGAACATCCATTTTTACCTCAAAACACTTCACATTCGTGGAAAGTAAAGACATCCAACAAATTAGAAAAGCCTAGATATGTCATAATCGGTTTTCAAACTGACAGGAAAAATAACTCAAGTAAATCAATGTCATATTTTGATCATTGTAAAATTAAAAACTTGAAAGTCTATTTAAACTCCGAAGTATTTCCTTATGAAGATTTTCAAAGTGACTTTAACAAGAATAAGATGGCTACGTTATACCGTGCGTATGCAGAGTTTCTAAAATCTTACTATGGTCACGACGATGTAACACCTCTATTGAACCGATCAGAATTCAAAAATCTATCTCCAATTATAGTTGTCGATATGAGCCGACAGAACGACAACGTGAAAATGGCGACAGTAGACCTCAGAATTGAACTAGAAGCTGATGAAGCGTTTCCAGTTTTCACTTCAGCATATTGTTTAATATTACATGACCAAATTATAACTTATAATCCGTTTAACGGAGAAGTAAGAACATTGTAAATTTTTATTGTAAATATTTTATTGTAAACCTTAATATTAATAAATGAAAATACTTTTTATATATATATCACGTCTTTTTTTTATTTTACATAAATTTAAATAATTTACAAATATTAAAATAGTTTTCGTTTCACTTTACGTGACGGCGTGGGGTGAAGAGCGTAAGTTGCCCTATCAGATGATGCGGGGGTAGTGAATTGAGACTGTGAATGCACGTCTCGATCGAAAAAATCCGGTCCGTCATTTACATCGAACGATTGTGTACTATGATCCCCGTTAGATGTCCATGGATTCTCGGAATAGTCCATCGTCTGTAATAAATAAATAAATAAATTAAAGTAATATTGTTTTTAATTTTAAAAAATATTTAATAAATTACCTTATCTACAAAATTATTTTCCGCATGATGAGTAGATAATGGTGAATAACTTGGAGATACCGGGGAGTCCATAGCGTGTTCTCCGTCAAATAACTAAAAATAAAAATTGTAATTAGTATATTTAAATATAATAATAATAATAATAATATATTTTATAATTACCAAAGGAGCGTTTCGAGCCTTTCGTTCTATCAAACGACCAGCTACATGCGCAGCAGCGAATAACTGAATTTGCCGAGTCATGACTGGCTCCGATTGTACGATCTGGTAGTCTGTGTTCTTCTTTATGAATAGTATAATTTCTTCTTCATTTACCGGAGGTGAATGCATCTGAGTAAACTTTTGTTCCAAGTACTTTACATACCCTCTCACTTGTTTTGTAAACAATATATGGCTATTTGACGTCGTCCGGTGAATAATTTCAAAAATTGATCCTTCCAAATGTTGTAGACAAATAAGATCTGAGCGACTTAGAAGTACTCTGCAACCTTCTTGATTTTTAGTCTCGACTACCAGAACATTTTCTCCCCCGTAAACCATACTTGATATTTTTTCGGTCTCCGTTTCGTAAAATATTGTTCGTTTATATTTTTCCGGAATATTTAATATAAATGAGAGGATATTTCCCATCAGTGAAAATATACGTTTTAAAGTATAATACGTTATATGCACATACCGGGATGGAGTTATTATACGTATAATGACTTCACAGTCTTTTGAAGTAGGATCAAGACCGATGTGTATAAATTTTCTTGCCACGAAATCTATTGTAATGCTCTTAGATTCAAGTAGATCTGAAGGTGTAGCCTGAGGTACATATGCGAATGATTTTTTCTTGTATACTTCAATATTATCTGAGATTGAACCGGCCATGCTATGGATAAATATTAAAAACTTATAAAAATAAACACTGGAAATTTATTAAGACTTGAAAAAACACTGACAAGAAATAAAAATGTACGTGTAGTATAGCATAAGACTCTGAACACACTGAATAAATGTCCGTTCTTGCAGGGTCAAGCGTCTGACGATCTGAGTCATTATTCGGTGGGGGTATCATTATTAGGTGGAAGTAAATTCCTCAATCACAACAGCTTGAATAACAACACCTGCCGTAAAAGGTGCAGGTGGGTTAATATAAAAGGTTTAAAAATATACAAAGGGGTATACATGTTCAGTCTTGTTGAAGAATGTTAACAATAGATAGGGTATGTCCAATACATGCCTCACTATAGAACGTTATGGCTAACGAAATGTAAGGTTTAAAATATACAAAGGGAGTATACAGTCTCAACCCTTGTTGAAGAATGTTATCGTTAACAATGGTTATGGTTTATCAGACCCACACAAGACGTTTCATTCCTGTATAAAATATACAAAGGTGGTAACATGTGTAGTCTCAACCCTTGTTGAAGAATGTTATTGTTAACAATTATTAAGGCTCTGTCGGGGCACACGAGACGAATGTAATTGTACAAGTATATTATTCTTAAATGTAACATAAGACCTTGGTACATAAATATTTCAATCAGTTATTACTTAGAGATGTGTACAATAATAATCATACAGCTATATACATTAAGAATCATAAAAAATGTATATCAGGTCTGCGGCCTAGTGGGTTAAAGCGTCAGTACTATAGCTCGTGGGTCGTGGGTAGGGATGTCAACGATATATCGATAAGGTTAAAATATCGATATTTATGTCCGATATATCGATACTTTTTTATCGATAAAGTTCTTCGATGAATTTTCATTATCGATAAGACCGTACGATATATTGGCTATATCGTGAATCGTGTTTTAACACTTTTAACTTTTTTTTTTTGTTTGTTTTATAAAATTTATTGTACTATCGTGTAACGTGGTCTTATACGCCATACTTAAAAATATTTTTTTATTTTTTATTTTCACCAATAAATCAGTAATAAATAATTATAACCAAATAAAATATTATATTGTTCATCCTGACTTTGCGTTGCCTAAAGTTGGCCCTCCTGTCTCGTAACAAGCTGATTTTCAAGCATTCAGCGGCTCAGCCAATCCAAAGAGCAAAGACTGGCCAAGGCGGTTAGTAACTTACAACTTTGTTTTGTTTTTGTCTTTTTGACGCCCAACTGCCGAAGCCGTACGCGTCACGTGGTACGCTGCCGAAAATTGAAATAAAATAAATAATAATCCTATTTAGCCGCCATATACGATATACGATATTACGATAATATAGTTATATACGGTGACGTCGATGTGGTTTTCGCCTTTTAGTTTGCTTTTGCTTTTGTCTCCGGATTCCGATTTTCGAGTGCTAAAGTAACGAGTTCTGATTTATGATAGACGATAGTCAAATGTTCAATTCCATTTTGTGGATCGCAGACGTGAATACGTGATCGTACTCCAGTTGTTGGCTGTAGTCCTGTATTTGCGTATATTGTATATAGCCGCCATAACTTATACTAACCCGAAAGTGCGGCAATCGCTCATATAGTCACGTCAACGTGACCACGTGTGTGTTCGACGATCGCGGATAATAAATACAGGTATTTTATTTATATAATAATTAATATTACAATTTGTCATCATAGCCTGCCCTCAGCCCACTGACTTTATTTTTGTAATATATTCATTTTTTTATGTGTTGTAATTTTTAGATATATGTAAAATACTAAAATGGGAAAAATTAGTAAAGTTTGGCAGCATTTCGACAAGCACAACAAATTAGAAGCAAAATGTAAATTATGTGGGAAAATATGCCCAACTGCAGGAAATACTTCAAATTTACATTCGCACCTCAAAAATGTTCACTCCATACCAAAAAAAAATAACACTAATTCTAGTGATAATCCTGATGATCCTGGTTGTAGAAGTGAAGTAAGTTTTTTACTTAGTTAAATATTTTACATGTTTTGTTTTAAACTAATTATTGTTTTAAGATATTAAGTATGGACTCAGAATCAACTTCGGATACTTCGGATAATTCAAGTAACAATAGTTCTGTTTCTTCTTTACAACGCCATCCTCATTGTTTTCAACCGTCTATCAGACATAGCTTCAAGCATATTTCGTCAATGAAAGGTAACTGTCAATTTAATTGTAATTTGAAAAATATTTTTATGATGATTCTAATTACATCTAGATCGTTTATCAAAAAACAAACTAATTATATTTAAATTAAACAACATAGGTAATACATTTTGTATTTCTGTTATATTACAGCAAATGGAGCAAAAACCAATGAAATTACTGATGCTTTATTATATTATATCTGTAAAGATAATATTCCATTCTCAACTGTAGATGGAGATGGCTTTAAAAAATTTCTAAAAGTAGCTTGCCCTCTTTATGTAATGCCTGCAAGAAATACCATAAGGAATAAACTTGATTTAAAATATGATTATTTGTCTAACAAATTTAAAGAAAAGTTGAGTGTAAAAAATAATTTGTGTCTTACAACTGATATCTGGTCAGATATACAGATGAAAAGTTATATAGGAGTCACAATCCACTTTCTTGAAAAAACTAGATATGTTTCTGGTAATTAAATAATTTAAAATTGAAATAAACATGTAATAAGAATTTAATTTATCATCTGATATTGTTGGATTGTTTTATATAGGTACATTAGGTGTTGTAGAGCTATATGAGAGGCATACAGCAGAATACATCAGTCAAGTGTTTTGTACTATATTATCACAGTGGGGAATAAATGTCGACCAAGTCATTGCTATTGTAACAGATAACGGTATTTTTATCCAAAATTAGCCATATATTTTTGTAATATAATTTTAAAATGTATATTTATCTATAGGAGCAAATATAAAGAAGGCAGCATGTGAAACTTTTGGTGTAGAAAAATATATTCCATGCTTCGCTCATACAATTAATTTGGTTGTGACCAACTCAATTGAGAATTGTCCCACATTAAATGATATTATTGTTAAGATCAGAAACATTGTAAAATACATTAAAAATAGTGTGAATTTGAGTGATGAACTTAGAAAATTGCAAAAAGATCAAGGTTGGTAATTTTATTTATCAAATTAATATTATTTATTGTATAGTACCTACAATAATTTCAACAATACACGTTCAATTTTAGGTTTACCTGATGGTAAAATACTTAAGTTAGTATTAGACGTAAAAACTCGTTGGAACAGTTTATTCTACATGATCGAACGATTTTTAAGTATCTTCAGAATTATATCAGTTATAATTTTAGACAAGTCAACAGCTCCTGACTTTGTTACTGCCCACGAATTGAATACAATAAGGGAAATAAAAACTCTATTGCAGCCATTGGAGGATTTGACTAAAAAAGTATCGGGCGATAAATTTTCTATCATGAGTAGCATTTTACCATTGGTAAATTGTGTTACTGCAGCGGTTAACAATAGTGTCCCAGTAACTGATATTGGACTTGAATTTCAAAAAAATATATTATATGAAATGAACAAACGTTTTAAAGATTTAGAAATATTTTATAATTTCCCATTAAGTACTCTATTAGACCCCAGGTAATAATTAAATGTATTAGCGAATTTGAAGTTTATAAGCTAACATAATTTTATTATTATTTTAGGTTCAAAAATCTACATTTTAAAGATCCAACACGATGCCATAGGGCTACAGAAAAGATAAAAAAATCTATTAATATCAAAAGAAAACTCTCAAAACAATCATTTGAGTGAACCTCCAGCACCGGCTCAAAGTTTATCCTTTTCATCTGAATTACCACCAATACCCCCATCTTTTGATTTATGGACATATCATGAAGCTGTGGCGAATGTACAAATTTCTCGGAGAACAACACCGATGTATCAAGAGGTTAGAGATCATACTATCACACTTTATTATTTATATTTGGTGTTTTATATTTTATATAATATTTTTAGCTCTATGACTATTTAGCCAAGCCTGTGGTAGACATTAAAACAGATCCACTTTACGCTTGGGAAGTGATGAAGACCATGTATCCAAATCTGTATATAATCGCAAGAGAAAAACTTAGCATAATTGCCACATCTGTTCCTTCTGAGCGATTTTTTTCCAAAACTGGTCATACTCTATCACAAACCCGAAACCGATTAACAAGTAAGAGGCTGTCGAAAATTGTTTTTATGGGTTCTTTAAGTGAACAAGACTGGTTTGAAATTTCAATACCCCTATAACTATTACTAATAATCAATAAAAAAAAAAAAGTTTTTCATTGTTATATTAATTAATAATATACTTATTTGTTTTTATGAGCTCAGTAGCTCATACATATTTTATTAAGAGAACAAAAGTTGATGTTTCTTATTCTTATTTTTCGTTTTCTATTTTTTTAAAGATTATAATATAATACTTTTAAAATATGTTTTATATATTTGTTGTTTTTTATACACTTATACTTATGGTTTATAATTTTTATAGGTATCTAATTTTGGTAACAAATTATTTTAATACCAGGAAGGTATTAAAATAATTTGCTGTATTTTTTTCATGGACCACTGCATATAAACAAATTCTTCTATTGGACCTTGATTATGAAAGCTAGTTACTAGCAAGTAGTTACTAGTACAATGTTGATAATAAATCTTAATATTGTTTTTAAGATAATGTTAATAAATGAAAATATATATTAATTTTTAAATAAAAATATAAATAATTTGACTTTAATACATCATAAAATATGTATTTAATATGTTACCTATTACCTACCTACTATAAATAAGTATACAAACTAAATTTAATGAATATGAAATACAATATAATTTGTTAATTTTTTCTTTAAATCTTTTATGTTATTATAATACACTGTCATTAATAATACAAATATTAACTTTCAACAAGTTATTCAAAAATACAATTTATAATTTATTGATATAAATTTAAACTATCACTTAACTATTGTTTGTTGGTATTGTGCCTGGTTGTAATTTAATTATTGAGGAAAACAATTACTATTTCCTCTCCAAATAGTTAATTCTGAAGAGTATGCCTAAGAAAAAGAGTTGAAACTTAGAAATATATAGGTAATTAAATATGATTGTTATAAGTCATAACCCATGCATCATAATTTTAATAGGTAATTTTATAACTAATATCTCAAATGTACCATGGTCAAAATTTAAAATGAACTTCAATGATGGCGTTTTGTTATTACTCATTGTTGGGTACTTTTATTATGTGCTTTGGTAATGACTAGATTAATGTTATATTCTAATGTAAATTCGGTTCAACACATAAACATTAGCTACTAGTTTCTACACACTACACTGAAAACTACTAATTTGATTTGTAACAAGATTTTTATTTGTATTTTTATCGATATATGTACTAATATCGATTTTTATCGATACTCAAATTACGATTTTTATCGTTATCGATGATAATGAGTTTTTATATCGATATTTAAAATATCGCACCTTTGGTCGATATTGACATCCCTAGTCGTGGGTTCGGATCCCACCACACTTTTTTTTCATTATTTATTTAATGAAAAAAAGTTTACAATAATATAATATACAATAATATACACACATACACACACAATAATATGGTGTGTGTTCAATAATATGGTATCATAATATGACTGTTAGATAAGAGACTGATAACTCTGTCTTGTACATTACGTCCGTCACGTGACGGATCAGGCGGCGGCGGTGGTATGACGAGGACGAGCAATGACGGGGTGGGGGTAAAATATACGTCGCGTACGTGCGCGATCGGGCGGTGGTAATGATGAAGACGAGGCAAGGACGAGCATGGGCTGGGTTAAAGACGATCTCAAAGACGATCTCAGGGACGATCTCAAAGACGATCTCAGGGACGATTGCCAGAAGCCCCCAAATCATACTACTTTCCAGAGCTAGAATGACTATAAAATGTGCATTTTGTATTATGTCTTCGAAATTTCGTATTCTTTTAATGGCTATTGAAACTACAGACAAAAATGCAGACCATATTGTAAAGGCCATTTGTATGTTGCATAACACTATAATTGATTTAGAAAAAAACATATTAATACAAAATGTACCAGTATCTAATGATACTAATTTACATATGGTTCACAATCAGATTTAACTGAATTATGGAGGTAGAGCTAATAATCATGCTCCGCGTACAGCAATTAACATAAGAAACAATTTCGTCAAATTTTTTATGGAAAATAAAATTTAGTGTGTACGTTACAATATGTGTGTACAATATTATCTATCACAATATTAGCTTATACAACAAGTACTATTATAATTATTACTATTATAAATATTATAATTCTTATTCTATATTATTAGTATATTAGTATTCTTAGTACCGATACCATTAATATATTTTATTCTGTGTTAAATAAGATTATTAAATTATGTTTCTGCGTATGTACTATTTTATAAAATTAATTTACTTACTATCCATATTTGTTCTTTTTGAGACTATATTCCACTCTTTGTCCGCGATAATTCTGTCCCTATACTTTTTATCAAATTTGTTCCACAGGACATTTTTTTTTGAACTTCGGATATAAGAAGTTCCATGTTGAATATTTAAAATATAATAAATTTACAATATAATATATATAATTATCATTGATTTATTATTTTAATTATTAAAAGTCATTACTAAACGTGTCTGATCTGTCGTGATTCGTGAACACTAAATAGTATAAAAAAAAAACCATTAATATTAAAAATGAATAAGGTAAGTAACTATTTGTATAAATCTTATTTATATAACATTCATATTATATTATGTATCATTATTGTATAATATTGCATTAAAAAACTAAAGTAGGTAATAGTTGATTCCTGGAAATGTTCTAGGATTAATTATCGAAGTATAAAGTTTGATACTAGTAGTGAAAAGAATTTTTGAATGTACAAAGTTTCTTACTTAAAACAACTGGTATTTGACTCGCGTTCAAAAGTGATATCTGGTGCACGCGTTTAAATAGGTACTATAGTACTATACGTATAGGCGAACGATAAAGAATTAATTTCCCAGTCGACGGAATAATATTTTATAATTTTTTTCTATCTAGTAATATTCAAATTTCAATCAATTTTATTCAAATGATGACTAAAATTATTCCTAAAATAATATGAAAATAAAATAATATCTGTTTAATATAATATATGTAATAATTTATTTAATTTTAATTTTTTTTAAATATGTAGAATGAAATTTTGAAAAAGAGAAATTCAAACTTCACTCATACTGAAGTTGATTTATTACAATCGCTTGTGACCAAGTATTGGGACCAATTAGAAAGTAAAAAGTCTGATACTCAAACTTGGAAACAAAAAAATGCATGCTGGGAAAAGTTAACAGATGAATTTAACTCACAAAACTCTGTAATGGAAAATCTCTCGACTAATGTTTTAAGGAAAAAATGGGAAAATTGCAAAAAAAATGTTAAATCAAAAGTATGCAACGAAAAAAAATATGTCAAAGGTACTGGTGGAGGTCCACCTATTCCAACAACAACTTTTTCTGCAACAGAAAACCAAATACTTTCCCTTATAAACATACAAGCTACGGGAGATGATGCCTTATTTGATTGCGATGCTGTTTCAGGTATATATTTACTTTTTATACAATTTTTATAATTATAATAATAATTATCTTTTAAATTTATTTTTAGATTTAGAGGCTTCATCATGGATTGATACAGTACCAGAGAAAAGCAGTTCCCCAGATGATGACACTGTATTGAAATGGGATGATTATTCGCCGGCACTTTTAAAAATACCCGTTTCTAAGCCGTTATTGATTACTATACCATCTGATATTTATTCCGTGAGTCTAATGTAGACAAATTTACGAGTTTAGATTTGTATATAATAGTATATAATTAGGTACTTTTTATTATTAGGCTGGCGTGAGTAATGTTGGAAATGAAACGTTATCAACAGAAATAATAATAGATGAAAC